TTGTCAGTGCTTTTGGTTACAGCCCAAAACAGTTCACTTGCCTTGCCTTTTTTTTTTTTTTTTGGTAGAAGTTATAACTGCATTATATACTTCCTTGTTTATTTGTTTATTGTCACCCTACCCTACAATTTAAGCACCATATGAACAGGGTCTTGGTCTTTTTCCTTGTTACATCTCCAATACCTGCACCAGTCCCTGGCATATAGTGAATACTACACACAAGTAGCGTCAGTAAACAACGGTGATGTAATACATGAAGAGGGAGGGACCTTTGACACTACTCCCAGTGTCAGAGAAGTAAAGAAGGTAGGTCCCCCATGAGCCTTCTGGGTTTGATGTGAAGAAAGAGCTTCCCAAGACCCAGAAAGGCCAACTAGAATGGCTTCCCCAGAAGTTAATGGGAAAGGCACAAAGATCACTCTCGCTTAAATTTCTGGTGTACTGGAGGGAAGACCAGGCAAGGGTGGCTACATACATGATTAGACAAACATCTTTCCCAGGTAAGACCTGAGGCATGCCCCCTTCTGTTGGGTGCCCCAGAGCTGTGAACTGCAGATTCAGAAAGAGGCTGCACAACCTCATGGGAGTGGGATATGCTGGGGCTTGTAGGGAAGCCAGAGCTCTTGGGAGGTTGTGGCCTCCCCGTTCTGTTCCCAACCTCTCCAGTGAGTTGCAGGGAAGAGACACAGCTGAGGCCTCCAGAGCACAGGTGCCTGCCAGGACTTAGTGCCCCAGACAAAGGCTAGGAAGCTGCTGGACATAACACTCCCACAAATGCGGGGGACAGAAGCAAGACTCTAGTTAGCATACCCCTGCACCTCCACTGAGGGCTTCCACATGCTCCCTCTATTCAGATTCTCATCACCACCACAATGACTTCAAGACACAGTTATTATTCCCAGGTTTATAAAGTGGAAACTGCGGGTCTGGAGGAGATGTGTCTTCCACAAAATCCCCCAAAGACTCCTCTGATGGTAGGTGGGGTGGTCTTCAGGCCAGGTCCTGGGTCTGGTGATCTTTACAAAAGGCACATCCCATGGCTTTGTACAGTGAAAGAAAAAACAAGTCCCCTGGCAGAGGGAGTTTTCTTCCCAACTAAAGAGGCATCTCAGCCTACCCCCAAATCATGGCTCCGGACACCCGACAGTTTAAGGTGGGCGGGAAACATGCAGGTTAAGGTGGGCAGGAATCTGCCTCCCTTCCTTTGGACCTCTGGACCTGGGCAGGATCCGAGTTTTAGCATCGATTCCCAACTCCTGTACAGGTGCAGCAGAGTTCCTAAGCTTCCAGGAAATATGACTAAGTTCGCGTCCCGCAGAGCTACTCCCTGGGTAGACAGGTCGAGTGTTATGGCCTCCACGTCGTTTGTCTCAGGCTCGCCCACTTAGATCTTCGACTCTCGCTGTCTCTCATAGGCTTCTCTGCCCCTGACTCTAGCTTTCTGCTCTCTCAGCTTCTTTGGGTGACTTTTTCACCATCCATCTTAGGTCTAGGTGTATCTGCCCTATTGCCCTGCGTCTCCCTCCAGATCTCTCCTGGTCTGATTTCTACCTTTGTCCTGCTTCTACTTTCCTTTAAAAAACAGGCGACAGACTGGGGTCCAAAGTAAACTCCGAGATGAATGCTCCCGGACAGCATTCCCAGTGGACGCAAGTGTCCTGTGCTGGGGAGGCTTGGAAAGGGTGTGCTGGAAGACGAGGCGCTACTGGCTTTGGGCTGCCAGTCTGCCTCTCTCCCTATCTAGGGAGGGGCCAGAGCACAAGCACACTAGTACAGAGGGAGGGGCGGGGGGCACTCTAAGGCCACAGCCGCCACCCTGGGGACCCCAAGCTCCGCCCCGCTCCGTTCCTATTGGCCTTAGGCTCCCCCGCCCCCAGCCGCCTGCTCCAGCACCCGGGCATTTAGGCTACCACAGATAAATAGCCCAGAGCTCCTGGCGCGCGCGAAGTTAGGGGTAAGGAAGCCCCAGAGCGCTCCGTTGCTTTGCCACACGTCCCGCCCCACAGGACAGGGCGGGGTGAGGACAGTCGGGCGTGCATTCAAACGCCCGGCACTTTGCCACTGCACCGCCGGGACTTTGGAGTGACAAGAAAGTTCTGGGCAACTCCTGTCTTTTCAAGTTGGGCGAGGCCAGGTTCCCTGCTGGGATATGGAGCTACTGTCGCCCCCGCTCCGAGACGTGGACTTGACGGGCCCAGACGGTTCCCTCTGCTCTTTTGCCACAGCAGACGACTTCTACGACGACCCATGTTTCGACTCCCCGGACCTGCGCTTTTTCGAGGATCTTGACCCGCGCCTCGTGCACGTGGGAGCGCTCCTGAAGCCCGAGGAGCATTCCCACTTCCCTGCAGCTGTTCTCCCGGCCCCCAGCGCGCGCGAGGATGAGCATGTGCGCGCTCCCAGCGGGCACCACCAGGCGGGCCGCTGCCTACTGTGGGCCTGCAAGGCTTGCAAGCGCAAGACTACCAACGCAGACCGTCGCAAGGCTGCCACCATGCGTGAGCGGCGCCGCCTGAGCAAAGTTAATGAGGCCTTTGAGACGCTCAAGCGCTGCACGTCCAGCAACCCCAACCAGCGGCTGCCTAAGGTGGAAATCCTGCGCAATGCCATCCGCTACATCGAGGGCCTTCAGGCTCTGCTGCGCGACCAAGACGCCGCGCCCCCTGGTGCTACTGCCTTCTATGCGCCGGGCCCGCTGCCCCCAGGCCGCAGCGGCGAGCACTACAGCGGCGACTCAGACGCATCCAGCCCACGCTCCAACTGCTCTGACGGCATGGTAAGGCTGGTACCCCAGGGGGGAGGAGAAAAGAAGGCAGCGCTAGGGATATATGCGACTCGTTTCTGAACACAGGGGACTGAACCCTGAGGGGTGGGCCTTCCTGGTGAACTGGGCAGTGGTCGCGGGGGTGGGGGGGGCGTGGATCCCGGTGTACTGGGCAGCTGTCGCAGGAGTAGCCTACTACTGTGGAGGTGCGCAAGACTTCCGCGATCCGCAGGATTGGCGGAGCTGTTAGAATACTACTCCGCGAACATAAAGGCACGCTTTTTCTTCACTTATCCCTACTTCCAAAATGCAGATACTGGCGGGGGAGGGGGATGAGGCTGGGGTTGTGGCTCAGTAGTACAGTGCTCGCCTAACATGCTTGAGGCACTGAGTTCAATCCTCAGCACCATATAAATGTAAAATAAAGATATTGTGTCCACTAAAAACTTTAAAAATAAATATTTTTTAAAATGCAGATACATCCATCCTTCATTTGTTTGGCCCTGCATAATGCAGATCTGAGCTCATGCCAGACCAACAGACGCGGTGCCGGAATTCGTGGCTGAAATTTTGGAGTTGGGGAGGGGGCAGCTATAGGGAGTGGTGCTAGGGCTCTTCGCAGTCCCGCCGACCTGACGTGGTCATCCTTGCCGTTTACAGATGGACTATAGCGGCCCCCCAAGCGGCGCCCGGCGGCGGACCTGCTATGACGGCGCCTACTACAATGAGGCACCCAGCGGTGCGTATACCCGGCCTAGCCCTGCCTCCCTGTCCCCTTTGAGCTGTTCAGTCTTCCCTCTAACTAGTACCTCCACCCCCAGCATACATATATGTTGGTGATGGTGCAGGGAATGAAAACCTAAACGTTCAGCTACTTCCCCTTTCGCCCCCCACTCTCTCTGGACAGTCCCAGACTCTGGTAGGTCCTCAGTTTCCCCTCTGCCCCAAAGCATTGGACCCATGGGGTGAGAGACTTGCCATGGTTCAACCCCTGCTTACTAGCCTACTCCTCCCCGCGCAGAGCCCAGGTCCGGGAAGAGTGCTGCGGTGTCGAGCCTCGACTGCCTGTCCAGCATTGTGGAGCGCATCTCCACTGAGAGTCCTGCGGCGCCCGCGCTCCTGATGACTGATGCGACACCAGAGTCACCTCCACTCCAACAAGAGGCAGCTGACTCCAGTGAGGGCGAGCGTGGGACCCCTGCCCCGTCCCCGGAAGCCGCCCCGCAGTGCCCTGCAGGCACGAACCCTAACCCGATCTACCAAGTGCTCTGAAAGGGGCAGGCTGCAGTGTCAGAGGGCGCCGCTGCCTACCCAAGGGATGGTACCCCTAGGGTATCTCGCACCCAAAAGATAGAGCTTAAATGCCACTCCTCCCAACTGCGCTTGAAAAGCGACCCCTCCCGAGGTGGGAGAACCGAAATGTTCTTCCCGTCCCCCCAACAGGGCAAGAACTCAGCCCGTGTTTTCCACGAAGCACCCTGCCCTGATACCCACGTGATGGCCATTTGGGGTTTCTCCATGAGCCATAGCTGATCCTTGAGGAGCCAGGTTCCCTTTCCTTGCTGCCTCCCACTCCATTTGGATAGAGACCCTCCCAAACCTAAGCCCCGCCCCTTTCCCCATGCCCAGGTTTTTTTTTTTTGTGGGAGTGGCGTGTCCCCTCTTTTCCAAAGCCGCCGCGACACCCACTCTTTCCCAAAGCCGACGAGGTGCCCTCCAGTCCCAAATGTAACTGGTGTAACCGTACCCCACCCCTACCCCGCCGCGGTTCAGGACCACTTTTTGTAATACTTTTGTAATCTATTCCTGTAAATAAGAGTTGCTTTGCCAGAGCAGGAGCCCCTAGGGCTGTATTTATCTCTGAGGCATGGTGTGTGGTGCAACAGGGACTTTGTATGTTTATACGTCGGGCGGGAGAGCCGCGGGCGCTCGCTCGCTCAAGGTGTTCGAAATAAAAACGCTAATTTATACCACGGTGGCTCGGTGGCTTGGCTTTCCCTTATCGTGGGRGCAGGATCCGAGGAAACTCCGCAGGCTGAGCCAGCTGTCCCGCAGCGACCCCTGTAGGCGGCTGACGGTTGCAAGGAGGCAGCAAGAAAGGAAGATGCTTGTCTCTATTAATAGGAGGGGAGGTTCCTCCAACCTTGAGGTGTATCACCACACACAAGTCAGTGGTTCTCCCAGAAGGATGGGAGGGTGCTCATGGCATTAGAAGTAAAAACTAAATGGCCCTGGAGGAGCATTGCAAGCGGTATGGCACTTAAAGGCTCTTAATGATAGGTGTAACCACAAGGGGAGGGCACAATCAGAAAGGCTTCTCTACTCAGGAACCCATGCTTGAAACATCTTTGTACTGTCTCATCTCAAGGACACAGGGCCCAAAGCCTGTGAGGAGAGGGCACAGGAACACAGTGGGTCTAGGTGTTCATCAGGCTATAAACTCTCCAAGAGCAGGGGAGGGGTCATTGTTTCAGCCAGAGCGTGAGGAATACTTCCTGAATGAGGCACCAGTTGAGCTGTAGCTTGARAAACAAGAGAAGACAAAGCCCATGGAGGGACACCACATACACATAGCCACCTCTGTGCATCTCTGGATAAAGTTTCTCCCTGTCCACATATATCTCCACCCATGCAAACCCTCTTCTCGAAAACCTACAGGCCCACTTTCAAGGCTTTGATTGTGGAGTCCTGGGCCCGTGCCAGAAGGACCAGCCTTGTGCCACACATAAGGATCCACTCTCTGATCTGAGGAGAGCCTCTGCTCCCTCAACACAGGGTCCCCAAGCAGCCACCTGGAGCATTCTATTACTAGTGATGCTCTGCTTGTCTTCTGGCTGCTTCCTCAGATGCTCCTCAGGGTTCTTCACACTCCTTTGAGGCCCTTGAGAGCTCATTCAGGACTTTACCTGTTCAACAGATGGCAAGTCCTGTGTTGGGGAAAAACAGAGAACGTTGGATGCAGTTCCTGCCCTTGGGAAACATTTGGAGCGTGTTATATTTCAAAGAATGAAGCACTATAATAGGGGTGTATGTGTCATGGGATAAGAGGGGAGGGTTCCCTAACCTTCTAGGGAAGGTATAGACAAACAGATAAACTCTAAAAACAGTCTTGAAGAAACTGGTCAGGAAAGAGGGATCAAAGGAGGGTGCTCCAAGCTGAGAAAACAGCAAGTGCAAAGACCCAGAGGTGAGAAAAAGCCATGCCTTATAGAACTATGTGCTTAAAGGGAAGGGGCTAGAGGTGAAATGGGGAAAAGGCAGAGACAGAGCCACAGTGGGCCTCATTTGGTCTTTATCCTGAGGGCAATAGGGAGTCACAGAAGAATCAAAATGGGGAAAGGATATAAATAAACCTGTATTTTAGAAAGGTCAGTTTGGGTTGGCAGAATGGATAAGAGGGAACAAAACTTGAAATAGGATGATCTGTCATGAGATCATTGATTTTGCTCAGAGAAGACATATGACATGTCCTGAAATGGGGCAGTGATGGGGATGGAAAGGAGGCATAGAATTGGAGACTGTTGTGCCAAATAATTACAGGTGTTGTGGGTACAGTGGAGACCTTTGATGACAGACTCCCTATTTTCCTACAGCTTAAAAGCTGAGGAGGAAATGGCCATTAGACAAAGAATCAAGTGAATAAATTTAATGTTATAAATGGTGAGAAATGCTCTAAGGAAAAGCAAAGGGTGCAATGAGAGATGAAAGTGGGGAATGAGAAGGTAATCAGGTGACAAGAGGAGGAAGCAGGATTTCTGCACTGAGTTTCACTCCTGGGGAAACTGCCTTGCAGCAGGGATCACAGCTCAGCAAGCAGAGAGTAAGTTGGACCTCAGCCCCCACTCACCTCCTTATCCAGTTGCTCTTGCGCCATGACCAACCTGCATAACTGTTCACAGCCCCTTGTATGTGGAGACTGTAGGGAAGTGAAGAGAAAGAAGGAGCCATGAATGACTTCAGGCTCTGATTCACTTTTGAGTGTATTTTGGTGCCATTATAAGGATGGGGACATCCGAAGGAGAAACAGGTATAGGGATACATTTAGACTGGATGCTTCTGGTCATGAGTAATGGAAACCACATTCAAACTAGCTTACACCCCACAAGGAGGTGGTCTGAAAGGACAATTTGGAAGTAAAGCTGTAAGCACCACTCTATCCATGGGTGTCAGGAGCTGGGACTAGAGCCCTTTCACTTTTTCATGCATCTCCCCCTTTGTCTCTACTTAGCTTTACCCTCTCCTAGTCCAGCAACTCATCTCAACATTGAATTCCAGTTAGAAGATTCCCAGAAGAACTCTTACTGGACCAAGTCAGTCGTGAAGCAGGATTTGCACTCAGGCTGAGGGACTCTGTACACTGTAATCTCAGCTCCCTTGCTATGCCACCTCCACAGAAGAAGTCAAGAGAGGAGTGAGGAAAGTTAGGAGATAGGGGAGCAGCTGGAGATTAGATCATTCACAGAAAAACAGGGTTCAGGCACCTTCCTGGCTTGTCTCTTACCTTAATCCCCATGGGGAACATCTAGCCGAGCTTAACCCCATTTGCAGTGTAGCTGAAACGTCTCTTGCACATGAGGCCATTTTTACCTGAGCTGCACCTGAGTAAGCACCAATGCCATGCCCTCCAGAGATGTAGCATGTGTCTTAACATATGTGCTCCTATGATTAGAGTGCATCACCAGAGGCTGATATACCAAACCGCCCACAGAGTTTAGGCTTCAGGTCCTCTCCCTTGCATGAATCCCTTCCAAGGCCCTGAAAGAAGCCCTAGAAATATGTCCACATGGCCTAGTTCTTCTTTAATTTTCCAAAGTAAATTACTCTAAGCTATTGGTTATGACCATTGCCTCTTTCTGGTTCCTCCTTGAGTTGGTTTGCTTTGGGGGCACATTGAGATCCTATCTAAATGTATGAATTTCATTTGGGGTGAGTGGAGTGTATTTTAAATAAATGGAATATTTTTAAAGAGGTAATAATGTTGAACCATGATGTAAGTTAAAATGATTCTAACATTAAGAAGACAAACGTATCTAAAACATGTATTTAGATCATTCCAAAAAGTAGTTATTACAAGAAAGGGATAGCTTTTGAATAGATGTGGAAAAGACTCTTGTATTGTTTGATAATCCAGTCAATGAAGAATAGTGAATCATATAAACACATTGGGAAAATATTTAAATTTTTTGCTCATCTGGCACAAAATACTGACATTAACAAAGACAGCATACGATTTATAATATGCCACTATAACAAGACGTCAACACCAACACAATTTTAATGAACTTTACCAATGAAAAATATTTAAAATTTATTACCATACAAGAGAATTCAAAATGCCTTGAGCTCTTACAGCCCCCAGAGGAAAGAAACTTGATTGAGATTTCCCCAAATGTGACACCAATCCTAAAAATGTACATGACATTTCTTTTTTTTTAAGAGAGARAGAATTTTTTTAATATTTATTTTTTTTAGTTTTCAGTGGACACAACATCTTTGTTTGTATGTGGTGCTGAGGATCGAACCTGGCCCGCACACATGCCAGGCGAGTGTGCTACCGCTTGAGCCACATCCCCAGCCCTGTACATGACATTTCTAATAGAGCTGTGGGCCTGAAAGAAGCTTCCTGAAATTATTAATGGTACAAACAAGTTTTGATCAAAACTTTGTTGAAAGAAAGACGGAATGATCTCTCTGTTCTCTATATCAAAAAAATCTTAGTATAAAACCACGTCACTTGAAGAAACAATCAAAGAATGTGCAGGCTGCAGGTGGAAAGGGGTAGGCTGGAAAAGGCAAGAAAAGGGAGGAACAGGGGGAAGGCAGAAAAATGAGGAGAGGAGGAAGAACATGAGGACAAAGAACATGATGTGATGATGATGAAGAACGAGTTTTTTTCTTATCTGTAAAACATTTATGCCACCTGCACACAAGTCACTACTATTAAAAAAAATTGATTTGAGATTGGGTAATATTTGTTTTAATACCATACAGGATCATTTTTGCATAGTTAATATTTTTTTCCGACAACAATTAACAGTGGGTTTTAATTCATGTAGAACTTTCCCAGGAGCAGGGAAAAGTGAGTCCAGAATAATACATGGATGGCTACATGGTGGCATGGGATTGAGGCCTGACTGTGCCACTCATCAGCTGGGAGCCTTGGAATGTGACCTAACCTATTTGGGCTTCAGCTTTCACTTTGTAAAATAAATTAATTATTTTAAAAGGCATATCCCATGTGTTAGTCAGCTTTTTGTCACCACGATCCAAATACCTGAAAGAACAAACCAGAGGAGGAAAGGTTTATTTGGGGCACAGAGTTTCAGAGGTTCAGTCCATTGTCAGCTCACTCCATTGTTGTGGGCTCCAGGCAAGGCAGAATATCATGGCGGAAGGGTGTGGCAGAGGAGAGCAGCTCAACTCATGACAGCCAGGAAGGAGAAAGAGTGAAGAGCTGAGGAGGAAATAAAATCCCAAAGGCACACCTCCAGTGACCTGCTCCAGCAGCCACGCCTCACCTGCCTACAGTTACCACCCATTTAGTCCATTTAGATTAATATATTAAATGGATTAGTCCAGTGATTAAGTTACASCTCTTATAAACTATTCATCTCACCTCTGAACATTCCTGCATTGTCTAGCAAGAGCTTACTGTGGGACACCTCATATCCAAACCATAACATCTCACATCTGAAATTCTTTAGTACTTCACTTAAAGCATTTCAGGAAAACAAAAAAGATAATGAAGTAGATCTTTTACAGATAAGGGATCTGGGAACATATAGACTAAGATTTTTCTCTGACCTCCTGGTTAGCTGATCTTTCCTTATATTTTTTCAAAATATTTTATTGTTATAATTCATATGATATAAAACTCACCCTTTATAGTGTATATTTCATTACTTTGTACCATATTCACAGGGTTGTGCAACCATCACCACTATCTAATTCCAGAACATTTCCATCACCTCCAAAAGAAATTTATCCCCATTAGCAATCACTCCCTACTATCCTTCCTTTCCCAGAAAACTGGCAACCACTAATCTATTTTCTGACTCCACGGATTTGCCTCTTTGGGACAATTTATATGAATAGAAGCACACAATATGTGTTTTTTCATAGAGGACTTCTTTCACTCAGAACAATGTTTTCAAGGATTGTCCATGCTTTAGCACGTATTAGTACTTCATTTCTTTTTGTGGCTGAATAATATTCCTGTGTATGGATATATCACATTTTATTTCTCTCTTTATCAGTTGATGTACATTGGGTTTTTTCCACCTAGCTACTATTAATATCTCAAAGGACATGCATGTACAAATTTTTGTATACATGTATACTTTTAATTCTCTAGGATATTTACTTAAAATTGAAATTGCTGGGTGTATAATAACTCTATGTTTAAATTTTTAAGAACTGCCAAACTTTTTCCAAAGCAGCTGCACCATTTCACATTCCTATCAACAATGTATGAGAATTCCAATTTCTCCATCTCCTCTATAACACTTACAATTGTTTGTCTTTTTTATTTTAACCATCCTAATGGGTACAAAGTAGTATCTCATTATGGTTTCGAGTTTCATCTCCCTAGTGATTAATGATGTTGAACATGTATTCACGTCTTATTGGCCATTTGTATATCTTTGGTAATTTTCAAATCCTCTGCCTATTTTTAAATTGTGTTGTCTTTTTATTGTTGAGTTATGGGAATTCTTTATACATTCTACATACTACACTTTTATCAGACACATGGTTTTCAAATGTTTTCTATCGCTTTGCAGATTGTCTTTTCATGTTCTTTGAAACACAAAAGATCCTTCATTTTATTCTATTCTTATTTCAATGAAGTCTAATTTATCTTTTGTCTTTTTTTTTTTTTTTTGCTTGTTTGTGATCACATCAAGACACCATTACCTAGCCCAAGTTCTCATAAGAATCTTACAGTTTTAACTTTTACATTTAGGAATTTGATCCATTTATAGTTAATTTTTATATAGTATAAAGAAGGGGTCCAGATCTGTTCTTGTGCACACAGGTATCCAGTTGTTCTAGCTCGTTTCTTGAAAAGACTATTCTTTCTCCATCCAATTGGCTTGGAATCCTTGCCAAAAAGTAATTGCCCATATGTATGGGTTTATTTTCTAGATTCTCAATTCTATTCTATCCATCTATATATCTATCCTTATATCAGTGCCACACAGTCTTGATTACTGTAGCTTTGTAGTTAGTTTTGAAATTAGAAAGTGTCAGTATTCAGTTTCGTTTTTCTTTTTCAAGATTGTTTTATATATTTGGGTCCCTTGCGTTCTGTAAATACATTATACAGCCCTGTCCTGGTGTTATTTTCAATAAGCACTAACCTTGCCTGGTACAACCAGAGAGCTGAAAACTGGCATGAAATAATAATGTGGTTCTTGTTGGTGCCCTCCAAAAGTTCTATAAAGAGGGGTAATATATTTTTCACTTTCAGTCATTTTTGATGTAGCTTATACAAAATATTTTTATAACTGAATATCATTGTCAAATTGCCAAAAAATATGGCAATTGTTTTTGTTGGCATTCTGAATGCTTCCACATAAATATAACTTTCTTAAAAGTATTACATAGGTGTACAAGGCAGTAAATAAAAATAAGATTAATTTCTGGATTTTTAAAAATGTTTTGTTATTGTTATGGATCTGGAATGTTCCCCAAAGGCTCATGGGTTGGAAGTTTGGTCTCCAATGCAGCAATATTCAGAGATGGAGCCTTTGGGAAAGAGAGTAGGTCTTGGGCTCTGACCTCATCAGTGGATTAATTCATTAATGGATACATAATTTGATAGTATTATTAGGAGGTGGTGGAAATTGTGGGAGGGGGATGTAGTTGAAGGGAGTGGGTCCTTGTGGGTATGCACTTGGGGACTGTATCCTGTCCTGGCCCTTCCCTTCTCTCTCTTCTTCCTGGCCACCATGGAGTACATAGTTTTCCTCCATCCTTCAAATAAATCTTTCCTTGTCTAAGTTGCTTTTCTCAGGTATCTTGTCCCAGTGACAAAAAGATGAATAACACAGTGGAATTTATCAGCTTTTAAAAATTTATATTTGGTCCTGATTTATTTTCTAAGTCTAAATAAAATATTCATTTTTGTCCCCAATTTGTATTCTTTTTTTTTTTTTGCCTTTTTAAAAAGGAATTACCCCCCCACACACACACACACACAAATGTCTTGACTTTAGCCTCTACACCACCTGGACCAACCCTGGCACACTGCTGACCACATGTCTCTGGGGACTGACACATACATACACAGGTACCCACCAGTGCAGCAAGGCACACATGGAACTGCAAAGCTTTTCCCATCAGAAGAGCCACAAGTCTCTGGTTACATCTGGGAGAACTCAGTGGCCCCCTACCCAGTCTTGCTAGGGACAGGCTTGTAGAAGAGCCTGCACTCACCCATCTTCTCTGTACATGTGCACCCCTGACCATTTTCATATACCTTACCACGCCCATCATCAACTCCCATCTCCCTACCTCATTCCCACAGTCAGCACAGAGAGGAGTCAAAGCCCTTCTGAAAGGCCAAGCCCACCCAAGGAGGCCTGATGCTTTGTCCCTGGGCCACCCTGAAATGACTGGAACCCATGAGAGAGAGAGGCCAAGTGAGGGCTGGTCACAAAGAGATGGGGGCAGGTATGCAGCCTCAAGGGAGGGAGAAAAAAAGAGGAGAGGATGTGAGGCAAATTCTCACAAAATAGTATTCCCTTTTAAACAGATGAGGAAACAGAAACCTAGAGACACTAGCTTACACAATTAGTAAACAGCAAAAATAAGATTTGTAACCAAGTCTGTCTAGATCAGGGATTCTCTCAAATGGAGAAAAAATTAGACCCCAGGGGACACTTGGCAGACACAAGTCTATAGATTTTTTTTATGACTGCTATTGGAGAAGAGGGTTCTAATGACATCTAGTGGATAGAGCCCTGCTAAACTTTCTTCCATGCATAGTACAGCACCTTACACATCTCCAGCAAAGAATTATCTGGTCCAAAATGTCAACAGTGCAAAAGTTGAAACATTCTGGTCTAGACATCTCCCCAGAATGTTCTTCACCTTAGCCCCTTTCTAGGGTTTTCATGGCTTAAGAGATCTGGGACCTCCTACCCAAGAGGTTGCAAGAAGGAACAGCTGTACACCCTGCTCCAGCCCAGTCCTGGTTAAGTACAAGGACTTAATCTACAGATCCTATGGCCAAGATCATCAATTTCCCCCAATGGCAGCTTTAGGTTCATTCTCCTCTGCCCTCTGGAATGAGGAGGTCTGATCTGGGGAGGGGACATCTGCCAGACCTACTGTCTTCTATCACAACAAGGCTACCCAAAGCCTACAGGGGCCAAGGCCAGCCTAGTTTAGTTTCCAGATACAGCCACAAGGTGGCAGCCCAACCCATCAGGAATACTGAGGTTGTCCGCCTGGGAGAGCAGCATGAAGACTGTGCCAACCTGGACAAAGGCCTGAGGGTTGGACTTGGGCCAGTTCCAGAGCCCAGCAGGACCAGATCTAAGGCCTGCAAGTGCCAGGTGTGAGAACATAGGCCAAATTTGGCTTCAGATCTTCCTTCACCATCTTCTAGTCCCCATCCAGTTTAGTTCCCACATGGAGCTTCCTGGAGCCCAGTGCTCCCTCCTGTCTAACCTGAGAAAGAAAAATTACAGAGCCAAGGAGTTAAGAACATAGGGATGATTATTGCTCCCATTAAGTGATAAAGAAACTAAGGCACAGGGAAGTTGAAGAATTTTCCCAGGTCACAGCTAGTCAATGGTGGAACAGGGATTTGAACCCAAGCAGCCTGGTTCATATATACTTTTTTTTTTTTTTTTTTTTTGTACTGAGGATTGAACTTAGGGGCACTTGACCACTGAGCCACATCCTTAGCCCTATTTTGTATTTTATTTAGAGACAGGGCATCACTGAGTTGCTTAGCACCTCACTTTTGCTGAGGCTGGCTTTGAACTCACAATCCTCCTGTCTCAGCCTCCTGAGCTGCTGGGATTACAGGTGTGCAGCCACCACACCCGGCTGGTTCATATATACTCTCAGCCACTGACCAGTATGTTCCCCACTCCCAACCCCAACCACAGCCATCAAAGACCTTCTGGCAAGGGCTTCCCTCTGCAAGGGAAGTGGCAGATGGTTATGCATGGGGAAACTGCTCAAAAATGAAAAAGAGGTGAGGTTTTTTGACTGAGTTAAGGATCCGTGGTTAGTGTTTATAGGTAAGAACCCAGGACTTGGTCAACAAGTCTTCCCCCAGCCACATTTCTTGGCATTTTTTGTTTGATTTGGTTCTTTCCCCTTGCTTCCCACCCCCACCCTGTGTTGTCCTCTTGGTTTTTCTGGGCTTTCTGCAAATGCCAGTCTTCTCATAGTGTTAAGGGGAAGTGAGAAAAAGGACTTTTATGTCCTGCTTAAGTGACAGAAGAGGAGGGGCATTCCTTGGGGCTTGGGCTGGAGGGTGTCATCAGGCTCAAAGTGAGAATCCTAAAGTGGAATGGCTGGGATATCAGGAACAGCTACCCTCTCCCACTGGGGTGGCTCCTCTGAGTGTTCTCTCTTTACCTCTTCAGGGATTTCAGGGTGTGATGGATACCCTCCCATACTCTCTCCCTCTGACCCTGGCATTACTCTCTTTTTCTAGCACAGCCTCCAGGGCCAGGCCTGACCAGAGCTTCTAATCACCCAATCTGCTGCCTACTTCTCCCCACTGTCACCTGGGTAACACTGCAGGTCCCCATTAGGAGTACCTGAGTGGAGCTCTGTATTGACCCCTAAGAGACCCTGATCAGACCCTCCCCCTGATTTGGCCTCAAGGATTCCAGAGGCCTTTCTTGTCTCTTGGCATCTAATTGGTGGGAGTAGGTGTCCATGTCTCTATGCCCATCTTTTTCTCTTGCTTCATTATCTCCTAGAGTTGGGCCAGAGCTTTCTGAGAGCCTGTGTCCTGGAAATCTCAATATGGGTTAGGCTGGGTTGCATAAAGCCAGGCTTCCTTATGGTTACAGGGTGAGACAAATTGGTTAGGGTGACAAGGACACTCCTTCCTGCCTTACTCTGTGATTGAAGGGGAAGCAGCTCCTATTTAGAGGAATAATGCAGATCAGTCACTGGAGGAAAGGGTGCCATCCTGATCCCAGATTCAAGCCCTTTCTTTGTCTCTACCCATCTCTCTGTTTCTGACTTTATTGTGCCTCTCTGTGTCTCCCTTTGGCCTTCTTCCATCCCTCATTCCTGGCCCTGGCCCTTGCCCCTCACCATGCCTCTAGGCCTTCCCTCTACCACAAACAGATTCTATGTGGCTGGGTCAGTGTTCCCCTGACCAAGTGAGTAGAGAGATGTGTGTGGCAGAGCTTTGTCCCCAGGCCTATAGCAGCATCTGTGGGTCAGGGTAGAGGGACAGCTGCCTGCACAGTTAGCAACTGCCAACAGGTAAATAAGAGCTTTGTGTCTTCTTAATTAATTCACTCTTTGTCTAGGCAGCCTGTGTTCGATTGGCCTGGGCTTGGATCAATAAATAAGTCTCTTTCTCGGCTCAGTTGACCCTGGAACTGGGCCTGACCTCCTCAATTCTGCCCAGTCCCACCTGCCCACTTCTCCAAAAGGCTGGGAGCTCCTTGAGGGCAGGAGTTGGAGTTTGATCTGATTTGTCCCTTGTGTCCTTGTGTCTGTGACAAAGCCTGGAACAAGTAAGGAGTAAAGGAATGATTGCTCAACTAAGTAAACTGAGGCACTGGTGGCAAGCAGGGATGAGAAAGGCTTTGAGGTGAGGGCAACTTCCACCCCCACAGTCAACTGTGAAACTGTAGGAATCCCAGCAGACAGCTGCTCCTAGCCAGCCCTCAAGACCTGCATGGGCTTAACTCCCAGGGCAGCTGAAGCTTTAAGGACAGAGGGAATGGCAGTACTCAGGAGCCTAGGAGAAAGTGCAGCCTTTCATAAGGGATCCCACCCAGGAATTCAGAGTTAGTGCAGGAGGGTCAGTTAGCTGGTATTCACGTGGTAGAGTCTAGTGACACTACTCATGAGAGACTAGGTCGGTCTAAGTGATTAAGGACCTAGCAACAGGAAGGGGTCGAAAGGGGTTAATGAGGTCCGGGATTGGGTGTTTATGGGGAGCTGGGGGACATGCATATGGGTGAATGGGAAGTGATATCTTGGAGCCCATGCAAGAGGGTACCTCTGGAAGAATCTTGGGGACTTCAGGTTCCACGGGAAAAGTCGGTATTAAAGGGTTCTTCGGAGAGCTCCGTACTAGTCCAAGTCAAGGTGTCAGGATGTCCTGTCTTACCCAGAGCTGGGACAGTCCCTGGTTTGGAAGGAGATGGGCGAGTGCCAACGCCCTTCTCACCTCAGTTTGACCTGGGGTGTGGGCCCAGACGTTTCTCAGAGCCCCCGCCCATCGAGTGGCGTTCCCTGAGGGAGGAGCGTTGGCGGGTCCCCCCTAGAGCAGGAGGAACGGTGCCCGGCAGGCGCCCCCAGTGCTGGGGTTGAAGGAGGCCGAGTTCCGCGCTGGGCTGGGAGGGGGGCGCGGAATCAGGGCTTTTTAGGACCCAGCGCGGCGCCTCCCTCCGGGGGCGAGTGCGGCTGCGCGCGCCGTGTGCCCGTGTCCGGAGAGCGGCGGGCTGGACGCGGACCGCGCGAGCGAGCAAGCAAGCAGGCAGCGGAGCAGCAGTCGGAGTGGAAGCAGCGTCGCGGCGGCGGCCGCGGCTCCGCGCCTCGCCTCCCTGGCCTCACCGGCCTTGCGGCGCCCGGACCAGCCACCCCCGCTTACCGGGCCCGACCTCCGCAGCCCCCTTCGCCTTGGCCGGCAGCGCCACCCGCCTGCCCGAAGCAGGGAGCGGAGCGCGGGGCGCCTAGGAACCGGAGCCAGTGCCCGCCGGCCCCGCAAACCAAACCCAGCCGGGAGAACCCCCGCCCGGCCCAGCGCTGCTCCACCAACGGTCCGGGAGCTGTCCCTTCAGCACCGCCGCGGAAGCCTGCGTCCGAGCTCAGCCCAGCGGAGCCCTAGATCGAGCCTAAGCGCACCCGGTGCAGCGCTCGCCGCTGCCCCACGGGGCTGTACCCGTGTGCCCCTACCCAGAGGACCCGCCATCTCCTCCGGGAGGCGGGGAGAAGGAACAAGGAGGGCGGGCAGGCGGGCGGGCTCGCCCGCCGCCGAGGGGAGCAGGCAGCCAGGCGTGGAGAGAGGAAGGGGGCCGGAGCCCGCCCTGCGCCCCGAGCTGCAGCCCAGCCACGCAGGGAGAAAGCAGCCGGTATCCATCTCCCCCGCGCCTAGAGCGTGCTGCGGCGACCACCGCACAGCGGAGCTCGAATTTCCCGGCCCCCTCTCTTCCCCTCCCCCTTCTGGGGGGTTGGTCTCTCCCTCTGGCCCTAGGAGCTGCTGACCTTCCCCCCAAAAAGCTTTGTGTCGATTTCTCCATTTTCCCGCTGAGATGGTAAAGGGAGCCCGGCCCCCCCACCCTCTTTCCCCTCCTCCCGGAGCTCGCTGCTGAGCGCCGCCCCCCTCCCTTCTTCCCTTCCACTCTCCCTCCCCTCCTCTCCTCTGCTTCCTCCGCAACCAGACCAGCTCCCTCCCACATCTGGCGCCTAGAGACCCTTGGGATCCCGCGCACACTCCCCTGGACCAGCACCGACCGCCAGCACCCCGAGGGGCTTGGGTCACTGGTTGGGGTGGCCAGAGCCGCGCTCCTCTGTTCTCCCCGACGGCAGGGGGGAGGGGGGAGGAGGCCGCGCGCCCCCCTCCCCGGCGCCAACTCCCCCTGGCGGCCGCTCCCATGGGTGTCGCTGGGCCGCGCCATGTCTAAGGGGGCGCCGCGATGGGCCAAGGGGACGAGAGCGAGCGCATCGTGATCAACGTGGGCGGCACGCGCCACCAGACGTACCGCTCGACGCTGCGCACGCTGCCGGGCACGCGGCTCGCCTGGCTGGCGGAGCCCGACGCCCACAGCCACTTCGACTATGACCCGCGTGCCGACGAGTTCTTCTTCGACCGCCACCCAGGCGTCTTCGCGCATATCCTGAACTACTACCGCACGGGCAAGCTGCACTGCCCAGCCGACGTGTGTGGGCCGCTCTACGAGGAGGAGCTGGCCTTCTGGGGCATCGACGAGACAGACGTGGAACCCTGCTGCTGGATGACGTACCGCCAGCACCGCGACGCCGAGGAGGCGCTCGACAGCTTTGGCGGGGCGCCCCTGGACAACAGCGCTGACGACGCGGACGCCGACGGCCCCGGAGACTCAGGCGACGGTGAGGACGAGCTAGAGATGACCAAACGCCTGGCGCTGAGTGACTCCCCAGATGGCCGGCCTGGCGGCTTCTGGCGCCGCTGGCAGCCGCGCATCTGGGCGCTCTTTGAGGACCCCTACTCGTCCCGCTATGCGCGGGTAAGTGACAACTTACCCATCAGAATAACCCGGCAAGGGAGGCAGCATCTCTGCCTCCAGCGGGCAGGGGTGGACTTGAAAAGTGGCACCTAGAGAGTTCAGAACTGAAGGGGTGTGTACATGTGTAAGAGAGAGAAAGGGGTGACTTTGCCAGGGTGACGATTTTGTATGTATAAAAGAGTCTGCCTGTGTTGCCGAATTTAATATGTATGAGTGAGTATGAATGGGTGTGTTTGTGTGTATGAGTAGATCGTGTGTGCATATTTATGTAAGTGTGGTGGTGTATATTTGGGTGGGTAAAGTATGTAGTGGAAATGAGTGAGCATGTGTATGTTGAGTGTGCATGAGGGCCTGTTCGTGCATATTTGTGTCTTTGCAGATGTACATTGTGAAGGTGTGAACTGACCTCTGGCGTGAGAGAGAAGTGGGGAACCCTTCCTCCCTCCCAGGTAAAGGGGTGTGTGGAGCCAGCTGCCCAGGAAGAGGGCCTCGGGCCTGCCTGGCAGCTTAAGACAGAGGGTCCCCTCCGCAGGGAGCAGCCTCAAGCCATTCTGAGGAGGTGGTCTTGGGGGGAATCTCTGTGGCTAATTAATAGTGTGGTAGTTCATATAGCTGGGCTTCCTGGCAGGGGTGTGGTGATCCCTCTGAGACCTGCTCCTGAGATCAGAGTATGTCCTTCTTCCTGGTGGAAAGGGGAGGCACTTGGATGGGATCATTGGGCTTTGTGCCTGTGCTTCCTTCTAACACCTGTGTGGTTGGGCAGAGAGGGGGATTTTAAGGGGGAACCTGCAAGGACAAGGTATGTGAGGTGGGTGTGTCTTTATCTGCCACTCCTCTTTAGCGACAGGAGATTGTTGTCAGGAAGAAAGGACACAAGCAGGTGTCCTTTCTTGCTGACCTTGGCCCCTCTGATGGCCTCTCTATATTAGTTTCCTCATTTATAACATGGGGGAGGGGCCCTGGTGGACTCTTGAGGGCCTTTACTACTGGACCATCAGTCACTAAACCCAAGAGAAAGACTGATAGCAGTCAGCTACCTTGGAAGAGATTCTTCAGGCCTTCCTAGGCTCTGTCCTAAGAGGCCTGAGAAAGCCACAGCCTGTGAGGGAGGGACAGACTTGGGAATTTAATGCCCAGCCTCTGGTATCTGTGAGCTATCCCTCTTCCCACTCCCAGGCAAAACACTGCCTCTGCCCCGCTGTCTTTTACAGTTCCACATCCCTTCCCTCCTGCCAGCTGAAGCCTGTGCCAAATCCAGGGGGATGGAGCTGGGGAGGGGAGGAGTCTGCAGAGAATCAGTGGATGAAGGACATTGGGGGAGAGGGCGGGTAAGTGGTGGTACCCAGGGGCAGATAATAGCCACTTAGGTAGAGACCTAGCAGATTTATTACTGAGATAAAACACAGCAAGGCATGTGAGGGAGGGGGTAGCAGGTCAGAATTTTACACCTTGAATTCTAGAACAGGTGTGTATATTGGGGGAAGGGAGCAATAGAGAGAGTACYGACCTCTTATCTTGCTACTGAAGATCTTGCCCAAGGTCACCCAGGGAGTTGGAGGCCAAGTAGCACTTGAACCCAAATCTCCTGGGACCCTATCCTCTCCTGAGCTGGCCGTCAGCTTCCTGTCATTCTTGAGTGGACTGGGACCCCTGAGGCCTCTTCCCTTCCTTCCTCCTGACAGAGGCCACCAGAGCCAGAATATTATATAACTGGAGGCTTGCTGAACTGTGGGGAGGGGCAGAAATAGGGGAACTGAGAGGTTGAGCCAGCTCATGCTAGGGAGGGGGTGGGAGCAGGCTGGGCAAAAGGCCTGTGTTAGAGCAGCTGCCCATTCAGCCCACGTTTGACCTTGGATAGCATTTTCTTCCTCTTGGCTCCTGGAATCAAGGGGTAGGCCCAGCTTCCTCATGACTTTCTACCTCCACTCCCCTCCTTGGATTCAACTTTAGAGCTCTGACCAATGTCCCTGAGTTTCAAGACAATCAGGGATCAATGGGATGTTCCAGCCCCCTTCTCTGTCCGTCTCCTCTGACAGGACCTTCCTAGGCTCTGGGATGGCCTCTTCTCAGTGGAGACAAATAGGCCACTCAGTGTGGCTTGAGGTCTCATTGGTGTATAAAACCATACTTGAAAAGTCTTGAACTGTTTCTCAAATGAATGTCCATTGAAAACCAGACTCAGGGAAATGCTGGGGGCAGTAGAGCATGTCGGAGAGTGAGGGTACCAGGGATGAAGGTGGGTGTTGGTGGGTCTCTCCCCTTAGCATACCTATGTTACTCTCCCAGTTGCTTCCTAAAAGAAAGATTGTAGTCTTTTAGACTACCCTGGGGAGTAGAGGAAGATACTGAGGCCCATTGGGGAGGGGGCTTCCCAAGGACACACAGGAACTGAATGAAGAGCTGAGATTAGAACCAGGGCTCCTGCCGCCTGCCCAGCTGGCCTAGCTGCATTGCGCTGCCTCTCTGCAGCTCCCTGCGCAGAGACCAGCGGCTGCCCGCCCTCCTCCCCCTCCATCTTTGCTCTGCCGCTGCTGCTGTCACCTTTGTTTACCCCTCCCCACCACGGGTCCCCAAGCCTCCTCAGTTGGTGGGTCAGGAGTGGAATTTTTATTCTAGATTCTAGACTAGAATCTAGTATGTGTGTGACATTGTATGCATGTGTGAAAGAAAAGCTGTGTGTGAGAGAGAATCTGTGTAAGAGAGATCCTGTGTGGGTGTGAGAGACTCTTCATGTGTGTGAGAATAAAAATATGTGAGACTCTGGGTCACGCATACACGTGTGTGGTGAAAATATGAGAGACATCCCTGTGTCAGAGAAATTCTTTGTGGATGAGAGGGTCAGATTTTGTGTGTTTAGTGAGGCAAACTATGTGTGTACAAGACTGTGAGGGAGATAAAGTGTATATTAAAGCAACAGCATGTGTAAGACCAATGCAATGTGTGAGACTCGAAGTGAGTGTGTCTCTGAGTGTATTGTGTGTGGCAAGTGTGAAACTGTATATGTGGAGCTCTGCATGTGAGTCTGAGTGTGTATGTAAGACTGTGTGCATGAGACCGTCTGTGCATGGTGGATGTCGTGTGTGATAGACTGTGTGTTTGTGGGGCTCTGTCAGAGTCTGTGCTAGATCCTATGTGTGACAGCATGTGTTGTGTGTGTGAGAGAGGCCCTGGGCATGTGTATCAATGTTGCTGTGCCTATATGAGAGAGACCCTATGTGGCCTGGGTGTAACCAGAAGATGAAATTTCAGTGCAGCATCCTGCCTGCTGCCTCTATCTCCTGGGACTCCTGAGCTGCCTTACTGAGGGCATTTCCCATCCTCATATGTCAACAGAAATGCCATTCTAGCCCAGACCAGCTGTTGGTATATGGGCCAGTTGTGAGATCACCTGTCCCTGAAGAGATGCCACCTACCCCAGACCTTGGTGTTGGCCCTGGAAGATAGGGGCAATACTTGGCTGAGGGTGGGATATTCCATCTGAGCTGTGAGGGTTATCAGTGGTGGCTGGAGCAGCTGGTTCCCTGGCCCTTCTCTACTGGACACCAACCTGAGGGGGCAAGACAGGGCGAGGTAAGCTGGGACAAGATGGTCCTCACTTGTATTCGGGGTAGGGGGTGGGGGGAGGGGGCGTGTGTACCACAGAGATACAGAGAAAAGGATGATGATTTTATGTGGTAAGGGGTAGAGGGACTTCCTGGGGCCATGAGAATAAGAACTGTGCCAGAGGAGGTCATGCTGGGGCAAGCATTGGGGGGGTGGGGGAAGCAGGAATTAGCCAGGCAGCTGGCAGTAGACAAATAGTCCTTGCATGCAGTGGTGTGAGAGCAGGTATGTTAGGCAGTCTGGGGGAACTGGCTGGAAACTCACCCTCCTTTCTTTCTTGGTGGCCAGTTCAGGTGTGAAGTCTGGCCTTTTTCTATGATTTGTATGTTGTTACTAGGAGCGTCATTCTTGTCACATCAGAGCCAGTGATGGTCCCTAGACTGAAAGCCAGAAACTGTCCCCACTGTGTATATGGGGTATGTGAATGTGGTCACATCTGTCCCCCAAAGTCATTTGACTTTCCAGATTTCTAAGAAGTACCAATGATCTCCAAGCTGGGGAAGCCTACCTCCAGCCACCCCACTGCCCCTCTCCACTGACCCCTTATCCCAAGTCTGTCTCTTTGCCTGGACCCCTCCTCTTTGGGACCTGATGTAGCCCTGACTCCCCCTCAGGCCTCTGGAAAGGAAACTTACCTGGTACCTAGAATGAGGAGCCTAGACATAGACTTCTGTTTATCCCTGGGGTCCCAGTAGACACGGGGCTCTTGGCAGAGGAGAAATCAGGGATAGAGCTGTTATTAGGGCTTCCTAGGTACCTGACCTCTCACCTCAGATCCCCCTATTTGGTAATGTGTAAAGGAGACCCAAAAGCAATGAAAACGAAGCTGGAGGGACCTCAAGAGTCTCTTGCCAGTGTGTCTTTGTTCAGTCCATGTATTCTCTTTCCCATAGTACTTTTATAGGGGTCCTTGTGTCTTTGAATGGTGCCACCAGACCCCCCACTCCACTCCTGGTAATGAATATCACTGACTTAGCATTTGCTGGTCAGAGCCCTTCACCTTTCTACAGACAAATGGGGTAATGACAGAACCGTCCTCAGAGGGTTGATGTAAGGACTCACTGGGGGTAATCATGGATAGCCACGGCACACAGTAGGTGCTCAGTAAGTGTTGGCAGCTCTTATTACTCCTGTTGCTTGTGTTACCTCATGACCATCTCTAAACTCCATCTTCTTCCTACTTCAAGCCACCTTCTTCCCTCAGGCCCACCTCTCCAGCAGCTTTCTGACTGTTATCCCACCTTTAGCCCCTGCTCCTGCCAGTCCATTTTCCACTTGGCAGCCACAGAGGTCTTTTCAACTCACTAATCTGTCAGGTCACTACCTTGCCTGCCTAAAACCCTTCAGTGCTTCCCTGTGCATACTGTGGCCTTGCAGACCCCATGACCTCCCCACTC